ACTTCAAGATCCACCGCATTGAGCTATTCTTGCATCAGAGATTTCGCATGGACTTGGCAAAGGAAGAAGACAAGGCTAATACTGATGTTGACTAGGATTTAAAAGCTCACGTTAACTAACTTTACCCTTCTTTAATTCACTACTTTTTTATTTTTGTTTTTAATTTTGGTGATTTTCTCTTTTTGGGTAAATATGGTTAGCTATTACCTTTTGACATCTTTTATGCAAGGTTAACTTTAATCTTTTTGTGGTTGATCAATACTTTAACTTATGATAGCTTGACTGATCTCCTGTAACTAATTAATTTGTGACAACTTGATTGTTGCTATAAATGCTGGATTAGTTAGTTGAACTTTTGGTTTCCTGTGGATATATTTCAAATACTATTATAGGTTTTAATATTTATGCCTCTAATGCAACTTCTTTTTAGTTATTAGGTTGCATGAGTGAGGGTCCTCATTTTACCCTTTTGACAGTGAGAACACTGTTCAATTTAAGTTAGGAGGTGAGGGTATCATTTTGGTTGAATTGACATGAAATTCAATTTTTAAGCTTAGATATTTACTGTTCCTATTTTCTGAAATTTGAGCTAGATTGAGAAATTATCCGTTGAACTGAATATGTGATTTAATAATAGAATGTTGCTTAAATGGTATGTTTTATAGGAAGTTGTGGTCAATATTTTAGCATAAATGATTTACAATATTAAGGCTTGTTTTTTGACAATTTGTGAAATTTTCTTTTGCACTTTTGAATCAGAGAATAATTTGAATGCCTCTATTAGAAAATTTTGTAACAAGTTGATATGCATTCTCTTTCTCAAAAGAGACTTTAGAACCTATCTTGGAATCTCTTTATGCTTTTTAATCACTTCACATGATATGGAAAAATGATTTGAACATTCTTTCAAATGCGTTTGAGCCTTTCAAGCTCACCTAATACATTATTTCCACTTGATCCTCTTTTGAGCCTTGAATTGAAAAACCATGTAAATTTTCTTTTTAAAAACCAAAATGGACCCTAGCATCTACAACTTCAAAAACCATGAATTACTTTACTCTTAAGATAAGTAATATAATATTGTTAGTAGTGAAAATTAGTTTGATTGTCAAGGGAGATGTTGTTATTGTGAATTTGCGTGTGAGAAATGAAAATGAAATTTAGAATACTACCAATAGTGCTCCTATAAAAAAAATAGAGATATATATGAAAAGAAAAAAATGCGATGAAAAAAAAAGTTTCAATTTTAATAAATTTGGAATATAAGGAATGATATCTAAGATAAGTTTGGGGGAAGATATTTGGTTAGTAAAGATGGAATGTTTTGTTTTTCATTGTCCTTTATCTCAAGTTCTTTGAATTTCATTTATCCTGTTCTTTCAATTAGCTCAAAACCTTTGGCCACGATACAAGCTTACAAAATCTCATTGATTTTGGATTATGTGAAGTGATGTTTTAGTAGGGAGAGGAAGAGTTTAGGCATATAAAATCTTGATATTGAACTTGTTTATGCATTTTAAGTTGCTATATTTTGACTTGATACCTGTAGGAGAATCGTTTTCTGGTCATATACACACATTTTTAAATTGTTAGAAAGTATGATCTTAATTTGTGAATTGGGCGTTCTTTTATATTCCACTACTATCCTCTTTGATATACACATTGAGCAACTAGTAAGGTTATTTTCATGCATGTTTAGTAGATGAATAATTGGTTAATCTAGCTATTTTACTGCTTGCTTTACTCGAGTAAAAGTAAAAGTCTAAGTTTAGGGGTGTGTTAGCCTCTAGAATTTTATATCATTTGAGTACATTTTTCTTAAATTATGATATATTTTATCTCAATTGTGTATATTTTGATTACCCAAATTGGAAAAATGTGTATCTTGTTTTGGGTTCACATGCTTAGCATTAATTTGATAGTTTTTGGCATAATTTATGCAATTTTGGTTTAAGGTTTGATTAAAAGCATTTACAGACCTTTGTTGATGTTTTTGAAAGGCTTTTGGATAAAAAATCAAGTGCATAAAGGCTAGGTTTCGTTAATAATGAAAACAACGCAAAATTGCTAAAGTCGTTCCAAAGTCGTGACTTTCATTTGTACCTTTTGCCATTGTTAGCAAAATATTCTATTTTATTTATCTAAAAATGCTTGGGTAGGATGCATATATATTGAGAGCTCAATCTATAACGCATTCTTCTAACTTTAAGACACATTTGGAGCTTGCGTGTGCTAGGGTTTAGGCATTGGAAGAGCTTGGAATAAGGGATTGGAGTTTTGAAGACACTTGGAACTCTTTTTCTTTAGTTTTTCTATTCCTCTTTCCTTTCTCTCTTGTAATCTAAAATGGGTCTAAGTATTTTGTGTATTTGTAGCTTATGGATGATTATGAGTAGCTAAACTCTTTGTTATAAAATTATTTGAAATCCTTGTATGAATTCACATTAAATTCCTCATCTCTTTTTGTAATTAATGATATATATATATATATATATATGTATGTGCATGTGTGTGTGTGTATTTTACTCTTTTCTTAATACGTCTACATGTTTCGTCACCATTTAAATGTTGGGCTCATTTGATTGATACTCTAGATTGCTAGTTTTAGTATAAAATCTAGGTAAAATAGTGCAAGAACTTGAAGTTTACTTGTTGAATGAATGGTTTTGTTAGTAAGATAGAAAAATACTTACTAGTCTTGCATAACCACATTTTGGTATTTAAAATTGAGTTTTATTAATTGTAATAAGAAATTGGCAATTAATTTAACTAGACATTTGTTCATGACTTGAGAGAGTGTATCCAAGTATTTTTAAAACCCTAAGTCACCACTTATTTTCACTAAAAGTATTTATAAGAGGAGGTAATTTTGGTGTTATAAAATATAAGGGGGATAAATAATTTTAGGTTTCATTTTGTGCTTGAAGTTTGTAAATCAATTGTTTTTTTTTAATTTTCTGGTGTTAATTTAATTTGCAAAATTAACTTTCTTTTATAATTATGTTTGGCTCAACTTGATTGAATTCACTTATTCTTTTATTGATCATTGTTTTTAAATAAATTCTTAAAGGAACGATACTTTACTCTTATTGTATTACTCGCTACAACCTCTGCACTTACGGAGAGCAACATAACCTTACAAACAATATTAGTTGAAACCTTAAATGCTTAAAAATATCCATATCTTTTCATTTGTACCCTCATTAAATATTTTATATAAAAGCCTTGATAATAATAATTAAAATTCCAATGCATGATTTTTTTTTTCCAAAAAGAGTAATATATGGAATAGGGTTACAGTTGAAAAAATAAATATAAAAGTTATCTAATGTCATATATAATGGATCAGGTAAAGCTTCTAGAAGATACCTTATATTATAATTTAGTAGGAGTAATAGATTATTAAAGGCAAGACAAGATTGTAAAAAAATGGGAGAGTGTTAATGAGGGCCCAAAAGCAAGATAATAGTATTTTAGACAAAAAAAAAACATTAGTGCTCATATAGTTTTTAGCAGGTTAAAAGTCAATTTGTCAAAAATTAATTTGATAAAAAGTAGTTATTTTAACAAAATTTATATTTGGGTATATTTTTTTTCCAAACTTTATTTGGTAAATTGAAAGTTATTTGAATTATATATAATAAAATATATTTTTAAATATATAATAATAAAAACACATTAATTTTTATGATTTGTAACATTTGATATTCTAACACAATATTTGAACTGTTTGGAGAATATATATGACAAAATTTTTAAATAACATAAGATTTGATATGTTGGTCATTGGATGGTAAAAATAAAAAATAATATAGAGCTTGGTATATTAAACAAAATATATACATAGTTAAATATGCATGAATTAAAAATGCAAAATTTGCATGATTAACTATTCATTTGTAATGCACAATATAATTAAATAAATCGTGCACATTATTCATATCTCTTTAAGATATTATACGTGGGATTGAGAATAGAGCATTATCATTAATGTAGGAGAATTATATGTCATATTTTTTAAAAGTAAAATTATTTAATTAAAAGTAACAGCTCTCTATTATTTAAGTAAAAATAAAATTATATGTCATATTTTTTTAAAAATTACAACATAGGAATTTAAAATATATATGTATATTTATACAAGATTTTTTAAAAAGGACATTTAAAAAATATCAAATTTCTTCGTTTATTAAAAGTACATTCAAACTAGTTTGAGAAAGATTTTCATAATATACTTTCATATTATATTTTTGATCCAAATAATTTTTAACTTTTGAAAAGTGTAAAAGGACTTTCTAAAAGTTAAAGGTGAGTTTTTCAAACACACTCTAATAATTTTTCTGCATAAATGCTAAATTGTAGTGAAAATATATTTCAAGATCAAGTGTTGAATATGTCCTTGAAATGAGTAAATGCCACACGACAACTAGAAATTAAGTAGATATTAACTTATCGAAATCTAAAAAAGTATTTATTAATAAGAGAATTGCTACATGTTAGTTTTTAAAGATAATTTAGAATTGTACGAGTGCAATGTATGATAACTAAAGATTGATTTGTGAAAGTATAAATATCCTATTGTCAATTCGAAACTTTTACATGTTAATTTTTAAAGATAATATGAAATTTTATGAAACAATGAATAAGTGTTACGAGTAACTACTAAATAGGAAAATTTGTTATTTTAGGTTGTGAAAGTCGCCTCAATTACTTTTTTGGATAAATAAAGAATGATATTTCATATTTCGGATATTTTTTAATAATTTGAAAAGTGTTTTTATTTCCAAAGGAAGAATAATAAGAAAGAAGAATTTCATTATATTTTATTCGGAGGGCATGTTGACTCATTTTAATTTTTTCGGGTAACACCCTTTTTTTGTTTTTTGGTTTAAGCAAGTAGTGGCCAACGGTAAGGCCCATTTGGGCTTTGCCATTTTAGGGTTTGGGCCTACTTCACCGAATCACAAGTCAGAACGACGTTAACAAAGGAAGAGCAGACCTCCAAGTTGAGAGCCACATCAACTTCCGCCGCCAACACCCAAAAAGAAAAAGAAAAAGAAAAACATCAACTGGGAGCAGCGGGCGGCGCCGGCGAGCACCAGCTCCAAACAAAGACAAATAAGGGTTTATCATTCTCGTAAATCCAAGTGGCGTTTTCTGCAATTGATTCTACGCAAGTTTCAATTTCATAGACTTTATTGCTCGCGATATCTGGTGGCTTATTACATTGCTATTTATCGTTTCACACTATCAGTAGTTGTAGCGGATCTTTGGCAGGAACAATTTAGAGAAGGATTTTGGAATCAGCCAAACCTATAACACCGCTAAGTTAAGTTTGGAACTGAGAAAATGGCTGAATCTCCGTCTCTTGGAAAACGGAAAGAAGCAGAGGATTCACAAGTCAACGAGACTTCAACTCAACAATCCCTCTCAAATAAACGTCGCAATTTGGCGCGAACATGCGTGCATGAAGTGGCTGTCCCCATTGGCCATGTTTCATCAAAGGATGAATCAATTTATGGCACTCTGTCAAATCCTGTGTATAACGGAGAGATGGCAAAATCATATCCTTTCACGCTCGACCCTTTTCAGCAGGTATCCGTTGCCTGTTTAGAAAGAAACGAGTCTGTTTTGGTCTCTGCACATACTTCTGCTGGTAAAACTGCTGTTGCCGAGTATGCCATTGCAATGGCTTTTAGGGATAAGCAGAGGGTTATATATACTTCGCCCCTCAAAGCTTTGAGCAATCAGAAATACAGAGAACTTAGTCAGGAGTTTAAAGATGTTGGGTTGATGACCGGTGATGTTACTATTTCACCTAATGCCAGTTGTCTAGTAATGACAACCGAGATTCTTAGAGGAATGCTTTACAGGGGTTCTGAAGTTTTAAAGGAAGTTGCATGGGTTATATTTGATGAAATTCATTACATGAAAGATCGTGAAAGAGGAGTTGTTTGGGAAGAGAGCATAATATTTTTGCCCCCGGCTATCAAGATGGTATTTTTATCGGCGACCATGTCAAATGCCACGGAATTTGCAGAATGGATTTGTAATCTGCACAAACAGCCTTGTCATGTTGTGTATACCGATTTCCGACCAACTCCTTTGCAGCATTATGTCTTCCCCATGGGTGGTAGTGGTTTGTATTTAGTAGTAGACGAGAATGAGCAATTTAGGGAAGACAATTTTGTGAAATTGCTGGATGACTTTTCCAAGCAGAAACAAAGCAGTGCAAAATCTAATGGAAAAACTGCAAAAGGCGGGTCTGCATCTGGCGGTTCTGACATATACAAGATAGTGAAGGTCAGCCCTTCCATTCTCATATTGCATTTGTTTTGTGGTGTTATCAGGGATCTTAGCAGAGTGATGTGTGAGTGCAAATGCGCATATGTGATTTTGACTGATCCTCATTACTAATAAAATGATATTTTTTAATCAATGTAGAAGTCTATTGAGAAAACTATGAAAAGTATTTGTCAACTCAAGGAAGTTCTCCATAAGGATTCACTTATTTGCAGTTCTTTAGCGTATCTATTTAACTGTTTAGTGGGCATTTTGGGTAAAGGGATGGCGTGGTGCAAGAAGTTGCCACTATGGGCATTTTGGACCCGCTTTGGGTCTATTATAAATAGCCTTACCCAGCATTTTTTCTAGAGGCTGTTTCCACACTTCGAAATTGAGACCATGGGGTCGCACAATGTCAACTTAACTACTGTGACAAGGCTCTCTCTCTCTCTCTCTCTCTGTAGGTATATTAGGTGCAAAAGTTGTTCATTTACATTGGGCTCATTCCAAAATCAACACCATGTCATTTTGGTAGAATCTTATTATGATAATAAGATTATAAGAAGTGACCTCTTAATGCGTCTCTTAATGTATATGTATGTAATTGTGACATGGGCATTTTAGGCGTAAAAGTTACCCTGCATTGAGCTTATCCTAAAAATTTACAGGCGTAATAGTAATCCTGTAGTTTGGATGGGAAATTCAGATGTGTTCTTTATTGAATTTAGCAGCTGAATTTTTTTTATTTTTATTTTTATTTTATTTTATTTTATTTTTTGTTAGAGCTGCTATGACTTCTTTGCACTTTACTTTAAGGTGAAGAACTTACACTCATGGAAAAGAAAGTTATCCCTTCAACAAGTGAATATTAGCAGATGGGTTGTTGATAGTTGATTTTTGAATTCCTAACTTCCATTTCTTCTCTATTAAATTACATTGCTCTGTATTCATTAACTTCTCTTTTTTGCCCTTTGTTTGCACTGGAATGCTGCTTGACCTCAGATGATCATGGAACGAAAATTCCAACCTGTTATTATCTTCAGCTTTAGTAGAAGAGAATGTGAGCAACATGCCATGTCTATGTCCAAACTTGATTTCAATACCCAAGAGGAAAAGGATACAGTCGAACATGTTTTCCGTAATGCAGTACTTTGTTTGAATGAAGAAGACAGGAGTTTACCTGCTATTGAATTGATGTTGCCTCTTCTTCAGCGAGGAATTGCTGTTCATCATTCTGGCCTTCTTCCTGTTGTTAAAGAATTGGTTGAGCTCCTTTTCCAGGAAGGCCTTGTAAAGGCTCTCTTTGCCACTGAAACTGTAAGATTATGTCCAGCCTTCATTTTGCTTCCAGGTTATTCTTTCTATATTATTCCTTTTTGAATGGTTCTCTTAGGTACTTTTCATTATTTTCCAGTTTGCAATGGGCTTGAACATGCCTGCTAAAACTGTCGTGTTCACAGCTGTTAAGAAGTGGGATGGTGATAGTCACCGTTATATTGGATCTGGTGAATATATCCAGGTGAGTGGTTATTCATTCAATCTGTCTACCACTGCAGCCTCATCATTATTGAAATCTTGCTACTTCTAGATGAGTGGAAGGGCTGGTCGTCGTGGCAAAGATGAACGTGGAATTTGCATCATTATGATTGATGAGCAGGTGTGTCTACTGCTATGTAAAACTCTTTTATGTTGCATGATTTTGTTAGCTTCGTTTTTCTTTTACTAAATTTTTTTGAGACCTTACTTTCACTTCATTCTTAACTGTAGTGCTCATTTGAAAATTACCTAGGCTGTGCTTATATTAGATTTTGTCATATTATCATTGGTTGCTGGCCAGAATATTGGGAAATGTTGGTTGTGGTTAGATATGCTAGGAAATGTAGATTTCATAGACGTTTTTAAAATGCATTTCAAAAACATCATTATCTTCATAAACAAATAACTACAGTGAGAGGTTTGAATGCAATCATTTGAATGTAAATGAGTACTTGATGGAACTGAACAGTTTCACTATTAATACTTCACCCAAATAGCTATTTACAGCATCTTCAATGGGAAATGGAAGAGGAAAACGGGATATTATAACTAGAGATAATAACAGTGAAGATAGCTGACATAAAAGGGACTCAGAATAAAATCATTGCCCTGACATTCGAGGGGTCAGGAGCTCTCCCAGCACGCCAATGTCTGAATGCTTGCCTCACCCTAGGCACATGGCCCTGGATAACCATCTCCCATAGAATTATTGGGCCTTGGCCTGTTGTGGCTCCTTCTCTGAGTCTTCATTATTATTACTGGCCCTAGTTGTAGCTTTGGGCTTTCTTCTTTTGTAAACATGGCCCGATGGGGTACTGGTCTCATTAGTACTTTGAAGCAATAAAAGAAAAGAAAAGAAAAGAAAAAGAGATTTGGTTGGGTAATTCAATGGTGTTTTCTTGGAAGCTAGTTGACCTTGTCAAACAAGTCACTGGATTGGTTTGTGGGTGACTTTTGTTTTAATGAAGGCCTTCAATACAAGATTGATTTTTGGGAGGAAAACTTGAGATTGTCACGATTAAGCTTATGTTTTAAAAAGATAGGATGATAACATTGTTACGTCCTTGATATATCAAAGGTGAAGGGTGCCTTTGAGGCACTATGCCTATGAAATGTGTTGGCGTGCATTGTTATTTGTGGGCCTTGTATTTGGGCCTATTTGTTCTGTTTATCGCTATTACCTTTTGGAGATTCTTCAGACTCTTAGCATTTATTGAGTAAGATTTGTTCTCTTCTGATAGATTTTTCCTTTTTAATTCATTTCTCATTTACAGTTTGCAATGTTGAAATACTTTTTTGATGGATAATTAATTCATTTAATGATGTTACATGCTCTTGAAGATGAATTGGATTGTTTGACCTCTTTGTGCCTTATTTTCATGTCATTTACACTGAAGTGGAACATAATATTGTTTAATTGTGTGGCTTATGTTACTATGATATGATTTAGGCATTTGTAATGTACCCCATGGAAATCACACAGGTGCCCCATTAGTCTGGACCTTATTGGTTCTCTTTCACTCTCATTTTCCCTGCATATTTAATCCGAAGGTACATGTAAAGTAGCCTTTTATGAAGAAATCTTCAGTCTGAAGGTTTACATGATTTTATTTACTTTAGAGGGACCTTCTCTCCTCATTTGGTTGAGCTTGAGATTGCCAGTTTATTTTATTTTATTTATTTTTTATTGTATCTCACATTCTTTTCGTTTTTGAGACTAAAAGTCTCTTGTTTTATTTTGTACACTACAGGGTCCTTGAAAACTAAGTGGTCTTTCATTATGTAACTCAATATTGATGTCATTATCTTGTGCAGATGGAAATGAATACCCTCAAGGACATGGTTTTGGGTAAACCTGCTCCTTTAGTTAGTACATTCAGGCTAAGCTATTACTCAATTTTAAATTTGATGAGCCGTGCGGAAGGACAGTTCACTGCTGAACACGTAATAAGGAATTCATTTCATCAATTTCAGTATGAAAAGGTTTCCCATTGAACCATTCTGACCTAAGTGTCTGAAAGAAGTTTATTGCATGTTTGCTCATACCTTACAAACTCCTCGTTCTGGTTCAGGCCTTACCTGATATAGGAAAAAAGGTTTCAAAGCTGGAGGAGGAAGCTGCCTTGCTGGATGCATCAGGGGAGGTAATCTTCATTGCAGGGCCTCAATATTTTAGTCTGTTATATGTTCTGTGTTGGATTACTATACTAATGTGTTATAAATTTATAATATATGTAGGCTGAAGTAGCTGAATATCATAAACTTAAACTGGAAATAGCACAACTTGAGAGGATGATGATGTTGCAAATAATAAGGCCCGAAAGGATACTTTATTTTCTTCTTCCAGGTCGTTTGGTAAGTGATTGTTAGCACGTAGCACTCCTCTTTTACACGATCTGTTCTTTTCTTGTTTGTTAAGCATCAGGATGCAGAGTTTTATTTGTCATGCTTATTGAACTTTGATGGGCACTCAAGTGGGCTGGGAATTCCTCTCCCCAAAAGTTAGTTACTAAGGTGGAAGAACTAACCCAATTAAGTACCCCATAGAGCTACCATATCACTCATTGTGGGATTTGGCATTCTATATAATGTTGGTCTCGATCAATTGGGTGCCTTTAAGAGTGTTGATGTCCAGATGGCTAAATTGGCATTTTACTTGATTTCTCTGTCGGTCAGAACCGTCAACAGGTAGCACTTCTCAAGCTGTTGGGAACCCTTGCTCAAAAGGTAACTATTAAGATGGAAGAACCATTCCCACTTTAGTACCTAATTGAAAAATCCATGTTACTCTATGCAAGATGAAGCCTCCTTTACCACATTGGTCTACAAAATTTATGTTGAAGCAAAGATGTGGCAGATAGGAAAGTTTACTCACTTATAGAGTACGCATTCCTTGTGCAGTAGACTCCCCCTTTTTGTATTTATGCTAAACTGGATAGGTCTGGACAAAAGGAAAGAAGACACTCCAGAATATAATATGGGATACCTTTGGTCTGGAGGAGAGCACAGTAGGAAAAGTCCTATATCTTGGACCAATATCTGCTAGCCAAAAGATCACGGAGCCTTAGGTTTCCAGGAGCTTTTGTCTTGGAAGCTCTATGTAAATTGTCCCTAGGTTGTTCAACTGATTCACCTTGTTCTGCTTGGAGCCAATGAGTGAAGGAATATCGGTTAGAGACAAGCTATATGGCAGGGTGCTCGATATTTTACTGATTCCTCGTGGTGACTAAACTTTCTTAAAATTTAAGATGTGTTTATGCTTAATTTCACTGATTCTGAGATTATGAATTTATTAACAAGAGCAAAAGAACAGAGGATACAGGTGATATATTTTAAGTTTCATTCTTGTAATCCTTTTGTTCATTGGCCTTGTATTGTTTGGAGAGGTCACTCTCTCCCAAGAATGTCTTGTATTGCTTGGCTTGCTTCCCATGGCAGATTGTCTACCAAAGATAGAATGAGCAGGATGAATCCAGTGCAAAATGGCTTATCTGTTCTTTGCATTAATCATCCTGATACTTGAGAACATCTCTCCTTTGAATGTAACTCCTCATCGAAGATCCTGAAAAGTCTGATGCAATTGATGGATTTTGACTTTGTTACTCAGAGCATTATGACATGGCAACATTACACAGTCAAATCACAAGAAACAAGTTCTCTTCAAGCTAGAGTAGCTATGTTTTGTGCGGTAATATATACTATATGGGAAGCTGGGAATGATGTTCTTTTTAAGCATCAAGATCCCAGTAGCGATAATCATTGTTTTACTGTAAGTAATGAACTCAAGGTTAGATGGAAACACTTGCTAGTAGGTAAAAATAAGAACACTAAAGCTGTAGGGCTTATATTCAATATTTTTTGATGCCTGCTCTTTTTTTGGGTATGTACAAGGGGAATGCCCCTTTTTTGGTTGTAAGCTATATCCTTGATTTTTGAGGTTGAATATAAGTTCTTCACCTTCTTCTTCAAAGAGAGAGGGGGGGGGGAATCACTACAAGACTTGCAAATGTGATACTCCACTGCAATAATGGTGGTTAATGGAATCAACCTCTGAAATGTATTGTCATTGCTGTTGATCATTGTAAAATGTTATTTGAATTGTGAACCATGCTTTGTACAACATTGATTTGCAATGATTAATGCCTGATATATATTATAAAAAACTGATTTGTCATATTCGGCTATTTGTTCATATGGAAACTTTCAGTCTGTTTTGTAGACATCTTTTTTTTTTTTTTTTTTTTTAATTTAAAGGCTTAGGATGAGCTATATCTGCTTATTATTCTCCAGTAGCATACTCAGTTACTCAATGCTAAACAGGTGAAGATAAGAGAAGGGGGAACTGATTGGGGCTGGGGGGTTGTAGTCAATGTTGTTAAGAAGCCTTCTGGTGGTGGTTATATAGTAGATACTTTACTTCATTGCTCACCTGGTTCTACTGAGAACAGTTCACGGCCAAAACCTTGTCCACCCCGTCCTGGAGAGAAAGGTGAAATGCACGTGGTGAGTAGACATTTGGTACAGTAACATTACATTTCCATGTTTTGACGTTGTAACTCACTGCATCTGGAAGCATCTGGAATTTTTTGTTGCTTACCTTTGATTGCTTTCTTTTGCATTAGGTCCCAGTTCAATTGCCACTAATTTCTGCCCTTAGTAAACTAAGGATTTCTATACCTCCTGATCTTCGACCCTTGGAAGCAAGACAAAGTATACTGCTTGCTGTACAGGAGCTGGGGAATCGTTTTCCTCAAGGTCTTCCGAAGCTTAACCCTGTGAAAGTAAGAGCTTATGAAATTTATTTTATCACAATTTGCTGGTCATCTCTCAACTCCATCATGAATTGGGCTGTCAGAAATTTTGTCGTCATAATGAGCGTCTACAATTACATGCACGGGCTGATAGATCTAAATAATGTTAGTTTCTAACCACATTGTGAGGTTGATGGTTTCTGGCTTATTTTTCCTTTATCCAATTGGAAAATTCAGTTTACATATCAGAACGCCTGTGGAAAATGCTACTGGTATTGGATCTTTAACCGATGAAAGCATCAGCTTCAGTTCTGGTGCTTCTGAATGCTACATTGCTGTCTAGTGTCTAGATGGCACTTCCTTGACGGGCACCTTTCTGTTAATTGGAAATTTATTCTTTCTCTATTGGTGTCTCCATTTGCCGTATACTCTCTACCCTACCTTCCTTTTTCTTTTTTCCTTTTACTCTTGGGATTAAATCCTCAAGACCTCAGTATCTCGTCCCCCCTCTTGAATCTCTCTTCAATCCCTTCTTTAGAATCCTTGTAGGTGATACCTTGTGAGATGCTTTTTGCACCTCCCTAACACCTATTGAGCTTTTTTTTAGAAAACTCTGCATGTGAACATTTCCAATACAGAAAATGCCATTTGAACATTACTTTTCCATGGTTGGTGAGGTTAACTGGAGAACAAATTGCCTGAACAGATTCATTGAGCTTTTACATGGTAAAAGATGTGTACCTTTAATGTTTGCTATATAATGAATGATTCAGGTTTAACAAAGATTTTACAGCTGTTCATCTTTATCTTCTATCTTCCATCAGTTTTCTCGTCTTTGGTTGTGTGCTGATATTTGAATATGCATATCTAACCTTTTATGATTTTCCTGTAGTTGTTTTTTCACCCTTACAACTTATCTCTGCTTCATTTTCCCAATCTTCTGATTTCAAGCGGTAATAATATTTTAGGACACATGATTGTTCTGAATTTGATTAAAGAAACAGAATCGTATTACTCGCAGATTATATTATGTTACATTTTATATTTGGCATCAGGTCCTTTTCTTTTGTTTCCCCTTCTTTTTTGATTCCTGTTTCTGTTGCACAGATTCATGAATTTATATGTGAGTTTCTATTTTTGTAATGCCTTTTGATTTTGCATTGTGATTGAGAGGCAAAGATCGGACTAGCTCTTTTACTCCTATAAGGGTCTTTTATTGGCCCTCTTTTGAAGTTAAAAAAAAAAAAAATCCTATTCTGAATTTTGCACACAGGACATGGACATACGAGATCAAGAAATTGTTGATATTGTCAATCAAATAGAGGAACTTGAGAAAAAGTTGTATGCTCATCCTTTGCATAAGGTTTGTGAAAAGTGATCTGTATGTTACCTATTCTCTTAGTTTTGAATCTCATGCTTATAATACTTCGTTTGAGACCTCTCTAACCATTTCACTACATTTTAGCATCAAGATGTGGATCAAATTAAATGTTTTCAGAGGAAAGCAGAGGTGAATCATGAAATTCAGCAGCTGAAGACAAAAATGCGTGATTCTCAGGTATTCAATTTGTTGAAGCTTCTCCATTTGGTATGTTGTTGCTCATATAATTATCCAGCTGGGTCTTGTGTTATCAATGGATGGAGGTCAGATACTGAAGACAATATTTTCTGGAATGGATTGTTTCATATTGCCTCCTCATGAATATTTAATTGATGGGGTTTCAAACTTGTGACAAAAGTAACCTCAATAAAAAGTTCAACATGATAAATGTCTCAAATTTTAATTGAAAAATCATTATATGTCTCTTACATAGTCTTACACTTCCGTTCCCACTTATACATGAATTCCTGTCCATTAACTTTTCAGCTGCAAAAATTTCGGGAGGAGCTCAAGAACCGCTCACGAGTTTTAAAGAAGCTTGGTCATATTGATGCAGATGGTGTAGTTCAGTTGAAGGGACGGGCAGCTTGTTTAATTGACACAGGCGATGAACTTCTTGTTACTGAATTAATGTTTAATGGTAATTGACATATATTTCTCCATAGTAAATCTGCAGGATATTATGTTGCATGATCTGAACTCTTTTTCCCCATCCAATTAGGTACATTTAATGATCTTGACCATCATCAAATTGCTGCTCTTGCAAGTTGTTTTATTCCTGGAGATAAATCAAACGAGCAGATACAATTAAGGACAGAGCTTGCTAGACCCCTGCAACAGCTTCAAGACAGTGCAAGAAGAATAGCAGAGGTGTTTTATCATTAAACTTTCGATGTTTCTCGAATGTGTGCATTATATGACAAATGTGCTTGCTTTCTGGTTTCAGATACAACATGAATGCAAATTGGATATAAACGTGGATGAGTATGTGGAGTCCACAGTAAGGCCTTATTTGATGGATGTCATATACTCTTGGTCAAAGGTTAGTTTTGCCTGAATTTTGAATTAAAGTTCCCTTCTAGTTCTTAGTTGCAAGTCATTTTTTAAAAAAAAATTTGTCAAGGCCATGCTGTATAAGTTGTTCTACTGTCGCAACTGATGTTGTATGCCATTAACGGATGACCTTCATTGAATATTGACATGAGAGTCCATAATTATATGGTCAATGTGAATTCCATTCTGACCATACATTAAGGTGCAAAAGTATCTTATATAAGTATCATTGTTAATTTGAATCTTTGATCTGATACTTGGTTTAATTAGAGTGGCGTATGTAGTGTCTATACTATGGACTAGACTGGATTTGGTGTGGCACTAAAGGATTTTAAATTCTCACTTTCAAAGCTATCACACTTGTAAACAGCCTTGCTCGCTAATGAACTTTTCTTTTCTTTCTAGTACAGATTTTTTTATGCCTTGGTTAATTGTTTTTGGTAAACATAGGCTGATGTAATTCTTCTGGAGTAACGAATTCCCCTCCTATTCAAAAACATTTTAAATTCCAATCCTAGATATGATGTATGTTATATACACATCTCAGTTGGAGCAAGTTCTCTGGCAAGCATACATGCTCCTATGAATGGGAGAAAGGGAGAGGAATGATTTATACGTTTGGTTTGGAAGTTGATGTATGTCTTTCCGTTTAAACTTTTTCTCACAGGGAGCAAGTTTTGCTGATGTTATACAAATGACTGACATCTTTGAAGGAAGTATCATCAGGAGTGCTAGAAGGCTTGATGAATTTTTGAATCAGGTATAGTCTGCTCATGTTTGAAGTTTTTATGTTTTTGGACTTGGAGTATGATTCCATGCAAGTGTGCAAAATATGTTAACTATTGGTTTTGTATACCTATGTTTGCATTTGGATACCATATTCTTTCCATTCATCAAGTTCTCTTGGAGTTTTTACCTGAAAACTTGGTGATATAAACTTTTTGGCAATTTTTATATATTATTGTTGTTCTAATCAGTTTGCAACTATCCAGTTGCTGAACTTACTTGACTGCACTTTTGTTCTGTCTTCTGAAGAGATTGTTGAGATCACAAGGTAAAACATACTGGATTTGTAATCAGATAATTCGAGTCTTGTGTGTGCTTGGAAACAGCAGATATATCCAAACTGATTCCATTCAGTATGAATGAGATCTTAAATTCCTTGAGCTGAATGTTGATTTGGTGATTGTATTATTGTTATCTGTTACTTCTGGGAATGGTATTCCAAGCATTATTATCCAGGGGAAATACAATAGTAGGTCCCTGTACTTTGGTTGTGTTGTGTTTTCAGTCCTTATAGTTTTATTTCATTGTTGTTAGTCTCTTTAGTTTGATCAGTCTACATCGTTGGTTCCTATAGTTTTAAAAAACGCACATAAAAACCATGAATGGGCGCTGACGGAGGTAATTTTACTATAACTCTGCTAACCCATTTGCTACACGGTAAAAATATGTTGACGATGTTGAAATAAATTGACCAGGTATGACTATTGAAGGTAAATAGGAAAAAAGCTTTCATTTATATTTGGCTTAAACTTAATGTGGGAGGTGAAATTGAGATTAAGTACACGTCAACAAAAGGGTTAATGGAGTTAAGTACATGTCATCAATATTAACTTCGCCAATGGTAGCTCATGGTCCTTATGTGTGTTTTTAAAATTATAGGGACCAACATTGTAGACGAATCTAACTAAAAGAGCCAAGAACAATGAAATAAAACTATGAGGACTAAAAGCAAAACACGATCAAAGTGCAAGGATCTATTGATGTAATTTCCCTTTACTGTAACTTAGGATCAGATGACTATTATAATTATTGATGTATTGTGCTCTTTCTTAATAGCATTTGATTTTTTTTAAAAAACAAGTGTATGGAGCTTCCGAACTTGAATATCATAAACTTGAAATTGTGGCTTTATTTGTGTTTGGTAGCTTTATTTTGTTTTTTTGTTTTTGTTTTAGCTACAGTGTAATTAATCTGCCTCTATTGAGCATTTGCTAGATCGTCCTGTGTTTTTATTTTCTCAGTAACTCGTATAAACTTCAAGCATCTGTTGCAAACACTTCATTGATTATAGGTGGTTCAAAGATAATAAAGGAACTTGATTTAGTGACTTCTAGGTCAAATTTCATAATTATCTGAAATTGAATTTCAGAACCATGTGACACTAAACAATTTGAAATGATATCAACAAATTTATAGAGTATTGAATTGTTATCCTTCTTTTCAGTTGCGTGCTGCTGCAGAGGCAGTAGGGGAGGTTGAATTGGAAAAGAAATTTGCAGCAGCAAGTGAAAGCCTTCGCCGAGGTATTATGTTTGCAAACTCTCTGTATCTGTGATTTGTTACCCTGCAGGCTACACTGTAAATCTGTAGTTCATCCACCCGTGAAACACTGCCTTCTTCCCGACCTGGAGGTTCTGGCTGGCCGGAAAATTTCTGTCTTCATTATGGGTGCATTAAATTCCTTTTCTTTGCTTTCCCTTGTATATTTGTTATGCACTTCGCATGCAGTCACCAATGTTAAAAGGAATTAGATTAGATCAGAAAGAAAAGAAAATTTGATCATTGCAAGTCTAGAATGGTAGGAAATCTTGAATCCATCAAGTTTCCATAGCAATGGAGTGAATCACGTTCAAGTCTAGCTTCAGAAGGCTTGGCCTTGGGGATGCAGAAATGAAGAAATTACTGTGAACTGAGTCATCGAGTTGTAATTAATCCAAGTTTGCAATTGATGAAAATTTTGAATATAAATTTTGACTGTAAATTTATTATTTTAGTGATTATTTTTTAAATTTGATTGATTGACTACTCAGCCATTCATTGTTCATTTTGTTGGCATGGTTGTTAGTATGACTATATGCTTGAGTTTACATTTTGACTGCTTAGCCAACTACATTGCTCCCACATCAAAAGTGTACTAAATTCATGGCATTTAGCTTTTCCACAATTAAATCTGGCATGAATAGTAGCCAACTCAATTGTCATAAAGATGGGAGCTAGTGCCTTGTTTAATTGAGTCTGGAAGAAGGCGCGGTATTCAGACTGAACAGCATGCGGTCATCAAATAATGTGAACTGATTTTTGCCCCCGGTTTTTGGGGCACTTTAAAGGTATGAAGAGGTAAATTCTCCTCGGACTAAATATAATGTGTATGAGCGGTTATCTTATTCGCAAATTGTGGATAATACAGCAGAACAGCAAGTTCAACGCTGTGAGGATCATGATCAGGGACACTAATTGCAAAGCTTGCCCTGTAGTTCTGGTCTTGAGATCCCTACTGCGTCCAAACATCATGACAGGCACAGCGGTGTCTGGAGAAAATGCTGAGTTTATTAAGCTGAGGTAATACTACTTTGCCAAGATCTGGCTTATCTTTTCATCTCATTTCTGCACATTGCAGAGCAAGCTTTGCAAATTGCAATGCTCGTCAACTGGACCGTCCTTAACTGAGTCAAGCATCTCGGGGAAAGCGCCCTTCTCAATTAGTGCCTTGGCTGCTACTGGTTGCAGAAGCATGATCCCAAGTGAGTGTATATTAGATTTAATTCCAAGCAATCCCATTTACTGATTCTCAGGGTCAACATAACATAAAGTTCCAGCAGTTGATGCCTTGTGATAGTGAGTTATAATGTCTGCAACGGAAGGAGGGACATGCCTGGCCAATCTCACGACACTAATCTTGCTCACACAGATATGTTCAAGCAATAATTTGCCAGGTTTTAAATCACGATGAACAATGTTCTGGTTTTGTTTCACGATTAAACTAGTCCTGCACCGGTGTCCCGCTATTCTGAATCTTAGTTGCCATGGGAGAACCGCTGTGTTGCCATTCTGGGAGAGGCAGTCCTCTAAGCTTTACGCTAGGCAGCTATCCTCTCTGGGCATGCTCCTATCAGTGGAATCATGTTTGGATGCCGGCAGCCGCTTGACACTTGAACCTGCATCGCTCAATTTAGATAGAAATTTATTTAGGCGCAAGGCTTGTATACTTAGTTTTATGCATTTAATATATTTTTATCCAATCAAATCAAGTCGTAGATTTTAATAGAAAAAATCATATTCAAGTAAATTATTCATAGATAAAAACTAGTAACAAATCACATTCAAGAAAAAACAAGTTATGTTTTAATTTTAATAACAATTCATTTCATATAAATTTTTTTCTGTGAATAACTTACTTGAATGAGCATAGGATGTGATTTTCCTATTTTAATATGTCAGTAATATTAATAATAAGAATCTGTTATAAATTAAATAATTTATAGAAATTACACGTTTTAATTTAATTGGAAACAGGTTTCTTAAATATAGAAGTTTTTCACTTTATCTATTTACTTTCAGTTCTGTTATTAACGTGTCTCGGACGCGTTATTATTGCCATCGCCCTACCTCGTGCTTGAATTGTTGTCATCCTTGAGCTGCATGGGGCCTCAACTTTTATTGCAAGTGGAGTGTGGTCTAATTTCCTGTTTTATACTGGTTCATATGCGCCTTCGCTGATCTTGAGTGAGTCTTAGAAGCTGTGTTGCGTCTTCTACATTCTCAATGGTGTATCTTCTGTACCTGGCACTACCTTTTGAGTGAGCAACTTGTCTTTTCTTTTGCAACTCAACTTTGGTTATGATAAATCCTTGATAGTCAATATAAAATTTTGTTAAATCTCACATAAAGTACCCATAAAAGTTGTTGAACGGGACTTGTGGATTAACAATATTATCCAATATTTCGGTTTATTATTATTATTATTATTATTATTATTATTATTAATTTTTTTTTTGGGTGCTTCCCCATTCTGCAGGCTTAGACGCTTTTGCTGCCACCACTGCAGCTTTACCTTTTGCTTTCTCCTTTGCAAGCATCAGTTTTGCGGATCCAATTTCCATCGTTGAAGTGTCACTGCGGTTAAGTAAGTTTCTTTAGGAAGTGTCACTTCCTATCGTTCCATATTACGCAGTGCAACTACGCTTTCAGTTATCGAACGGATCTTATAATTTTACGATATGTACATGAAATATTTATATAACTAGATTTTTAAATAAAGTAACATTATAGGAGCTTTATTTTTTTTGTTCATCAAATGATATATTGAAGTGAATACAATTTTAGGTGAAAAGTTCTGAAATTCGAATTGAAGTAAAATGATAGACAAAAGAGATAAATGCTCAATAATTATGAAATAAAGAAATAAACTCAGATTGATGTAAGGGTGTTTATGGGATCAGGAAAAGTTTTTCTTGTGTAACACCCGAAAATTGGACGGGACTGAATTTTTCGTTTCGTGTTCTGTCTCGTTTTGGGTGAAGATGCTCCAATAAAGCAAACATTTATCAAATAAAATAACTTGCTAAGTTCAAATTGAGTTATAATAAGAATAAATTGGCCCGTTGGCTGAAAAAAAAAAAAATTTGTGCTCAGAGAAAAAATGGACTAAATTTTTGAACATTTGGGTATATGGCTAATTTATATTAATATGTAAAAAGTTTGTTATTGATATATAAGGAGTTTAATAACCACAATTTAAATTGAAAAAAAAATACAATCATAACAACCGTAATTAAAATTAAGTGTACAGCAATCACAAATGACCTTTATCTTACAAGTACAACAATAACAAAATGTTGAGTTATATAACTTAAGTAAACTAGCCAATCACAATATAAAGTAACCGATTCTTCCTTTTCGGTTGGAATCGTTGAAGCTATTGAGCCTTTTCAAAAAAAGCAACAAATACAAGATGAACAAAAATTATTAAATACCATTTTAATTTACTACTTTGATAGGCTACCATTTTAACAAAAGCTATATATATTTTTTAATAATATCTTATTAAACTATGAATAATTTAATACATAATAATTTAAATATTATTATTCTTTACAAATCTTTGCACACAATTTACAAATTAACCTTTGAGAATAATGATAGTCTAATAATCACCCAGTAAATAGTCAAAATGTTTGGTCAAAAATGAATTTTTTTATCTATATAAAATTTTTATATGGTACTTATTTAAAATTTTTTAATTCTTTTTTATAATTTTTGAGGTTTTTTTTTGCAATTATTTAATCAACTAACAATGGAAATTAACTTTTACTAATAGTTAAAAAAATATTGCATCAAAAATAAATTTAAAGTCCTAAACACTCCTAGACCTACTCTTCCCTTAAAAAATGTAAAGTATTTTTTACTGAATCTTACCCTAATAAAGTAATTATATTTTTTTAATTAATATTATCTTTTCATATTTATTATTATTTAATAATGTGTTTCATTTGAAAAGAATATAAAATGATTTATTTATTAAGAATATTTTTGAAAAAAGCACATTAATTACACATTGAAACACTAAAAATAACTTAAATTTTTTAATATCCAACCCCTTAAAAAATATTTTATATTCTTTCTTTGTTTTTTTTTTTTTTACCTTGAAATGCCTTACATTGAACAAAGGGAGTGTAGTTTAAAAGTAAAATTGTCCTTTAACCTTTCTTAATATACTCAATAATAATCAAAAAATAAAACTACGTTGCTATGTAAGCAATAGATGTTCAGGGACAAAAGAGATGAAATCTATGCTCACAGGGGGAAAAAAAAAGAAAAGAAAGGTTTGAAACCTATATATCATAGTCGATATCGCTAATTAACTTCTAATTTCAGTGTCAAAAAAAGAACCCTTAATCAATGGTTACTTCTCTAAAAGAAACAAACAAAACTAGCTCATTTACATACACATGCATCAGTTATGCCGTCTCAGAATACGCTTGATGACTCCAGATGCAATGTGTTCATTACCAAAACTGGCTGGTTTGGATAAGAAATTCAGATCAGAAGGGAATTTGAATCTTCTCAAGTACTGTTGCACTGCTCGAGTGATCAGGAGAGCAATACAAATAGAAGTAGGTCCCACACATTCAAATGTCTTCAGGAGGGTTGGCTCAGTGGAATGAAACACAGCCCATCCATTTTCACTTTATTGTTCAAGCAAAGAGGGCAAAAAAATTATAAGCATGGCATACCAACAGTCAATCTCTCCAAGTAACTCACAGGCTCACAATGTGGTGAATTAGGTTTGAATCTTTACTAAAGATATACCCACGTTTACTATCTGACAATACTTTTAATATGATTGCCTTCAATAAGAGAATACCTATGGAAAATCAAAAACAAAAAAGTCTCTCCAAGATTAAGAACCTAAACTTTTCTAAGGTAAGGAGAGAGATAAACAAAAAATACTGTGTTTATTTCCTTTTTTCCCCCCTTAACTTTCAAGTAAAGTTAATTTAGATGATCCAAATTAACATTCTTATATTACTTTCAGTATGGGTTGGGTCCTATGTGAGTCTTATATATCCTCCTTATCTCTCTCTTTGCTTGAACAATAGTTGAGATGATCCAAATAAGATCAAAGTGGTACGAGAGGATTAATATATAGCTTGGTAAAGCAAGACAGATAAGCCATTTTCTTCACTCCCAAGTTTTAAGCATTATTTATTGGGAAGTTGATTTCATCAGATGTTGCAGTTGAAGAGCGAATTTCTGCTTCACTGGCATAAGAATAGAAATCATCATCATGATCCCTCTCTCTTAGCTCTTGAATTTTCTCAACCACTTCTTTCAAACTCAATCGCTTACTCACATCTTCTTCACAACAACACAAGGCAGTCCTCAAAAGCTTCACCATCTCACCTTCACTGTTCCTTGTTCCTCCCATTACTTTGTCCAAAACCTCACTGCTCCACTCTTCTGGCTCCACACATTTCACCCAACTAACCAAATCCATCTCTCCTCCTTTACCTGCAAATCTCCCACTCATTATCTCTAAAATTAGTACCCCAAAACTCCATATGTCAGTCTTCTTTGAAATCTGACCCTCTTGTCTATAATCAGGGGACCTATAAATGACCATCATGTCCTGAGCAAGCTCTTGGTTCATTACTGGAACTAAGCCGTAGTCTGTTAAAAGGGGCTCATAAGACTGAGTAAGAAGTACGTTTGAGGATTTAAGATGTCCGTGGGGTGCTATTAGGCTTGGCAATTCCTTGTAGAGATATTCAAGTCCTTTTGTGATTCCTTTCACAATCTTCAATCGTGTTGGCCAATCAAGGCCTGGCTTGCCTGCATCTTGGGGTCCTGAAACAAACAGTCAAAAGCAAACAGCTTAAGCTTTATATGTTTTGCTTGCACTTCTAATGACTGATTATATCGATAGAAAAATACACGCTTACATGCCCATATTGCAAAGGTATGTTTCTTCATTTATCAGATTCGACAAATTAAAATTTTTTTTGGAATATACAAGTAAATATATTGTGCGTTTATGTGCATTTATTCAACAAATTAATGCATTAAGAAGTATAAAATAAATCAAAACTGTAGTTTTCAATTCAAACTAAATGCTAATGATCATCTATGTTAATGGTATTAAGATTTTCGTTGTAAGCTTCAACCTGCTTTGTGACACTATTTCAGAGAAAAGACAAAAGGTCACAACTTTATGGCGTTAACCTATGTGATACACACACACACACATACCATGAAGGCGAACTGCCAAGCTACCATCTGGAACATAGTCAGTAACCAAAAGCTTCTCCTCCTTTCTGTAATAATAAGCCACAAGAGGAAGCAAATTAGGGTGATCCAACCTTCCTATCCTCCTCATGTGTTCCTGAAACTCTTCCTTCCCAACATTGTTCATTTGCTTAAACCTCTTCACCACCATCATTGAGCCATTCAACAAAGCAGCCTTGTAAGAAGAACTGAAGCTGCCGCTGCCCAGGATTTCAGCTGAGGCTCTTAGCAAGTCTTGCAAATCAAATCTCTCTCTGTCTTTTCTTACGAAGCACAACTTCATGTTCTCTGATTTCTTGCTGTGGTTTGAAACCTGTGATGCTCTTGAGTGGTTGCTTCCTTCATCTACTTCCCTGAGACGAGCTCTCTTTCTCTGGTTTGATTGCGGATTCTCCACCGATGATGCCGCCGCGGGTTGACTTTTTCTCCGACGAAGGAGAAAGATTATTACCCCAATGAGGATTACTGCCACGCCCACCGCTATGGCAATCGCTACAATAGTGATGATTGAGGGACTTTTGGAGGAATGACATGCACTCATTGGGGTTCCACACAATCCTTCATTTCCTACACATTGTCAGAAATGTGAATCTCCCATTAATTAAATTTTGTGTTAGTAAAAATGGACGAGTATAACTTAACTATGCAACATTTTTAAATCTTGGTGCGCTCCTCTGCATTAATTTGATTGCAAATAGCATACAGTAAATAACTGATAGAACCAGCAAAATCAGGCAGCATATAGAAAGAAATCAACTGAGTACATTATGTTTGAGAGAATGTAGAGAATACAAACACCAATTCACCACTCACTCACTATTGTTTAACCTTTCACACAAAGAAGAAGAGCGACTTCCCAAAATAAACTCACATTCATCCTGGTTTCTAAGGGACCAGGCCTTCTCCTCTCAAGCCAATACTACCAGACTATTTTACTCTAACTTATCCAAATACACATAAAATAGGCCTATTTTATGTAAGGTTAGAAACATTTCACCATAACCCAAACAAGATAAAGAGGAAGTAGAATCCTTCTGTGACTAGTCAGTAATTATTCAATCAAATGTCATGTTGCAATTGGTGAGGCAAGTGTGCTATAGACTTACCAGAGAAGGATGAGATGGGAAGTTCACTAAGGCTGGCAGGTATTTCGCCATGCAACTGATTGTTAGCTACGCTAAAAGATTTCAATTCCTTCTGCAGAAAATTGGGAATTCGGCCGCTGAATTTGTTCCCTTCTAATCTCAACTCCATAAGCCTAGGCACCATGGTTAAGGAAGTGGGAATTTCACCTGAAAACTGATTATTCGCCAAATGAACTTTCTTCAACCAATTCATACTCTGAAAAGTCTGAGAAGGAATCTCTCCATAAAACCTATTGTTCGAAAGATAAAATGTCTTCAAAGGAGATAGCTTGTTCAGGTCTGGCCAAGTACTATGGAAATCATTGTTGATAAAACTTAAGGTTCTAAGATTAGGTAGCTCTTGAAGAGCGTCGACGTCAATCAGGCCTTTGAGTCCCATATTCTCAAGCTTCAAGCCCGAGATTTTGCCTTCCGCACATGAAACCCCAACCCAATTGGGACGGTCACCGGAACACGGCGGCGAGACCGACGCATTCCAAGTGGAAAACGTGGTGTTGCTGCTTTCGTATTGCAACGAGTCCTTGAACTTGAGCAGCAATTCTTGTTCTGAAGACCCAAAACAGGAGGGAATTACGTTAACGCCATAAAAGAAGAGAAGCAAGAATAGAAGTGAGGGACAACACCAACAATTATAACTAGAAGTTGTACCACGCAGTGCCATTGATGATTGATGAGTGAAGGGGTTAATTTTTGGCACATGGCAGGCACTGTACGTACGTAGCAGAATAGCAAGATCTGCTTAGCCTCGAGGAATTAGCATTGAATTGAAGATTGATTGATTGATCGGTCGGAGGAGATACAGAAGGAGGGAATGATCGGCGATGGAGATTACGTGGAATAATGGGGAATGAGGTTGACCAAGTCCTTCACTTCTTTCTGATTTGCATGAGAATATGCATGTCATGTCTCTTCTGATCTATACCCTCAGATTTATCCGGAGAGCCTTTGAAATTTGCATGCACTACGTTAGCGACTAGAATTTGTATTTCATTTTTTAATAATCAAAAGTAATTATTAATCTAAACCATTAATCATCATCAGTAATTATATATACAGGGACATAGGCACGTTCACCGTAATGGGGGCAATTGCAGTATTGTACCCACAACTCAAAAGAAAATTACCTAGAATGACCCTTACTAATTTTAGTTGTCCCCTTACAACAATTTCTTTTGCCCCCTCACTTCAAAAAAAATTTCACTTGTCCCCTAATAAAATTTTTCTTATCACTTTAAACAAAAATTATTATCTCAAATTTTATATGTTTATAACCTTAAATAGTCATTTTCTTAAATTATAATATAAATCATTATTAACTAATTTACATTTCTAAAAAAAGTTAAAATATTAATTTTTTTAAATTTTTTACATCTTTTCAATGATATCTTTAAGTAGAACATGTATAATTTAAAACACTCTCATTCTTACTTGAGTGAAATATAACAAAATAATGGTATAATTGAAAATATATATATATATATATATATAACCTATCCAATAATCTATATTTTGAACCTAGTGAAACTTTTAGAAAACACCCTATATTATGATAAGGAGTAATAGTTTTAAAATAAAAAAGTAATAATTTAGAAAAAGAATTTATAAAAAATTTTGTCACAAAAAAAAACTCTACCATACAAAAGATGTATACATATTTTATTTAATAAAAATTAAAGATACATTATTATTGCAGATATATAAAAATTATTTATATAAAGAAAACTTTTTATGCTATTGTAATGCTATGATTTATGAGTTATTTTTTAATACTTAATTTTTTTTACAAATATATTATTAATTATATTAACTTGCACCCTTAATATCATTTAATAGATATTTAAAATTATTTTTTTATAAAAATATTGATATTTATTTTATGCATAAATTATGCTCCATTTATTTATTTTTAAGGTTCGTTATTGTATGTGTATGCGTTTTTTTTTTTAACTTACAAAACACAAACATGTTAATTGGTATACATAAAGCTAGTAATTTGGGCCAACTTGAACCTATAAAAAAAATTAGGATTAGACTTTAGCTATATAAGCTTTTTTAAGAGGATATAATACTTTAAATCTAATTCAAATAAGCCCAACTTCAATTAAGCCCAATCGTTAAAATTTCTAACTCTATATATATGTAGAGTTGATAATTTTAACCAAGCTCAACGGATCAATCTAAAACCAACCCAAAAAAGCTAGGATCGAGTTTGGTTATATGAGCTTTTTAAAAAGAATAAGATATTTTAAATTTGATCCAAATTAAGTCCGGCTTAAATAAGTATGACCTGTCTAAATTACTAGCTCTAGGTATATATTAGCTGAATCAGAACTTATGAAAACTATTTCCTAGAAATAATGTGTGTGTGTGTGTGGAAGAATTACAAGCATATGTTCATGGATGACACTAATCTTTATTGCGACACTGATCTGCTTGGATTAACAATCAAACCTCTAGCATATTGTTTCTCAATAGTCAGAGTCAGAGGCTTCTATTGTTCTGAATTCCTCCGCTTGGCCATGGTCAGCGTTCTCTACCCTTCCCACTTTGAGGTCATTAGTTTTCTTCTCAACTTTCGCTACAACATTTTTAGCCTTTGGCAACTAGGAAAAAAGAAAACCATTGCCACATGGGATGAAAAACTTGCTCACACCATGGAGAACAAAACCATTACCTATAGTTTGACAATAAGCAACACTTTTGAGCTTCATGAATACACAACGATTCGCTTGTTGCCAAGCTATTTCTTTTAGATAGTTTTTTCCTATTTTAGATAGGTTTTTGAGAAATTACATTCCTAAACCTTAAAATCTAAACAAAAGTTATTCATAACAAAGGTAAAATTGTTACTATAAAAACATAATTGTTAACTGTGTTGTTAATACCTAAATTAAAGTTGTTAATTAACAAACTGAAGTTGTTAATATAAGAAATATACTTGTTAGTAGATAACTGCACTAACAATTACACTTCATCTATTAACAACTTTACTTTCATTATTAATAACTTTAGTTTATATTTTAACAATTACGGTGTTTTATTTTGCTGAGGATCGAAAACATAACTTTGCCAAAAAAAAAGTCACTTAGAAACTTCAAAATAATTACTCCATATTGTTGTATTTATTTGTCATTCGTCTATTTTAATAGAATTTATTTGTCATTCTCCTTGCAATCAACTTTAAATACATATATAACTATAAAAAGTTATTCAGTCCATGAGATAGTCTAATAACATCTTCCACCTCGATGCACTCTCTCACATATGTGTATTTGCTTCTATCTCTTCACTATTGTGGACCTCTTTTACCATATACTTAGTACCTTTAATATTTGTAAATCAATAGAGTTGATTGAGGAACATAAGTGATTGAGAAGTTGCAAGTCATGCAGTTTAATGCTACAACAACTAGTTAAGTCCAAAACAAAGAACTATGAACTTAATTTGTTTAAACATCCAACTCAACATTAAAGTTATTAAATCGATTGGAAAATGCAAGTAATATACTCAATATCCGCAATTATTCAATTTTAACAAATCCAAAACTCAACACTAAAAATTGCAACGCAACTGTATTTTATTGGATTATTAGTAAGGAATTTTGTCCGCAGCTTGAAAAGGGATAATGGTACTTACACAGATGATCAGCTAGGATTTCAGCAGATAGTCCGGGCACATTACACTGATCTCTTCAGTGCTCCAAATCAACTAAACACTGTTGATATTCTTGATGGCATTCATTCGCTACATCTTCCCCAAGTTACAACTACACAAGAGGATAAGCCTATTATTCCTCCTTCACTGGATGAAATTAAAAGGGCTATTTTTTATCTGCCAAAAAATAGTGCCCCTGGTCTCAAGGGATTATTCCATGCAACTTTTTTCAAAAATACCGGCCTCTTATTTATGGAGATATGGCTGCTATGGTTCATTATTTCTAGGATTTAGATTTTCTTCCCAAGTGGCTAGATAAGATTATCCTAAAAGGTCTCAGTGTTCAAACCATAAAGGAATTGAGATCTATAAGCCTCGGCAATGTTTCCTATAAAATTGTTTTCAAAATCATTTGCAATACATTTACAGATGTCCTTCAGGAGGTCAAATCGCCAAATCAAAGTGCTTTTCTCCCTAAGAGACTCATTTCTGACAATATTCTTCTTGTTGCAAACTTAATGAATTAAATTCATATATCTAGAATCAAAAGGAAAAGCCTGGCCATCTTTAAGATTGACTTCTCCAAGGCATTTGATCAACTATCTCGGAATTTTATAGAGGTTTGCGATACTTAGAATGCAGTTTCCTAGTAAGTGGACTCATATCATATCGCCATGCATCTCCGCTGTTCAATATCAACTCTAACTCAATGGTATTAAATAAAATGGCTATCACTGTATAAGCAAAGTTAGAAATTAAACACACTTACCATTAGGAAATAGATACATCTTCCAACTTTCTTCCTTTCACTTCCCTTCTCTTTTTTAAGTTGTTTCTTGTGTCGTTTTCCTTGCAAAGTTCATTGAAAATATATGTAGCCCAATCATAGTCACTTGGTTTCTTCTGTATCTCATAAACGACCTTCAATACATGATCGCTCATCTCAAGACTTGCAGTTGGCAGCAACAAGGTCCCCAATTTATACATTACAAAAAGAAACTCAAACTAAGCTACTTACTTTCTAGATGTAATCATTTCAACTATTTCCTTATAAGGCATTCTATAGTAAGTATTCTTCAATTTCTTGAATGCTTTGTCATTAATATTGACATATCTAGTGACCTACTTACCCTCACTCCATATGCTCATCAAATCATGAACATCCTTCACTTTCATTTGCTTAATTTTCTCCCTTATGCATAATTCACAAGTTGGAGGATCAAAAGCATGCATCAACTCTCCACAAATATCCCTTTGGATTTTTGCATGCTATGTCAAGTAATCTATCAAATCCTATCTTCTCCAACCTTTTTTGTAATTTCTCATTTTTCTTCACACACCTTGCTACTTCACTAAATTGACTAAGAGAGCACTGAGTATGGAACAAAATGGTATACTTCTTAAGTTTTGTCTTAACTTTCTCTTCCATCTTCCTTTAATTGAAAAAACAAGTTCTATCACATTACAAAACTATCCAACCTTATGATAAATAACATTTCTAACATTTTGTCATGTACTTATTACCATGCTATTTGATAGTTGTCGTTCACATTGGGACACTTGTCGGTGGAGAATATGTTTATTTAGTAACAATTGTCCTATATGGTACTTGTTACCCACTCTAGATCACTAGACAATAGAGAATATTATTTAGTAGTCATTCTCCCATATGGTACTTGTAACTGACACTGGTTTACTAGTCAATGGAGTATATGTTCATTTAATAGTCATTGTCTTATATGGTTTTTGTTACTATAACAACCTACACTTATCATTTCACTGTAACAAAACAACAGTTTTCTCTCATACATTTTTTGAGAGAAAAGAAAAGATATCAAAGAGAGAAACATTTCTCTCAAATAAAATGAGAAAGTAAAATCTTATAAGAAAATTGTGTCTCTTGGAAAATTTCAATAGTACATATTTCTCTCAAAATTTATGAGAACAAAATTCTCTCTGAACAGTCTAAGAGAACTTATCTACTAGGGTTTTTGATTTTCAACCTTTAGAAGTCCTTGAAAGTTAGATAATTCTTGGATAAGCTCTAATGCTTCCCCTCTCTACCATTCTTATTTTCTTGGTTTTTGGGGGCTGTTGGAGCTAACATACGAAATTGGTGGGGTGTTTGCTAAGTTTCTATCATGGATGGGGTTATTGGAGTAATATCTAAGTGTTTAAACCTTGGTTTAACCCAATAACAGTGATTTAGGTTTTAAAGTTGGATTTATAACAAACCGTAATATTGTTTTACTAAGTAAATGGTGATTTGCAGGTTTATTATTTGTAGTTAATGGGAGTGTAAATAAGTAATGACCCTAATAGAGATTTTTGGTTAACTTTGATTAAGGAAATTAATTATGATTAGTCATAATTAGTCTTCAATGGCATTTAATGTGATCTATTGTAGATTATTACTACTTGGAGTGCTTGAGCTTGTTAGAGGCTCCATTGATCTTTATAGTGCACTTTTAGTTTGGTATACCAAGAGATAAAGTAACTAAGATTTAAATTCTAGTATATGTTTTGTTGTTTGCATTATGAGCTTGTATTAAGAGTTGCATAATGAGAGCTTGGATTAATATGAGTGTGCCTTATTTGTATGAATATGTTTTCATTGGTTGGATGTTTATGTTTGGAAGTGAATTATTGATTATATGGTATTTTTTCAAGCATGGTTGTAACATCCCAAAATTTCTTTAAGGATTTATTTAAATTAAGCAAGGGGGTTGAATTAGTTAATTAAGATAATTGGGGGTTAATTAGAGTAATTGAATGACCATTTAGTCTATTAGACCCTATATGGGAGTTAAGATCAAACCCTAGGTGTAATTGGGCCTCCTTTGATAGGCTTTAGAGAGGGTTTCATTTTGTCATCTGCTGTGGCAAATGGCATAATTTACCACAATGGATGGGACAAATTTTAAAATTCAAACTGGCCACTTTAGATAGCAAAATAGCAGGGAAATTTTGAGAGAGAGGCCAAAAAGGATTAAATGCTTTGCTAGGGTTTGCGTCTTAGGGTTGCTTGTAGGTGATTTCAAGCCATCCAAAGCTTCCTTATCTCTTTTCCATGCATTTTCTCCAAGTTTTTGGGGCCATGGAAGAATTGTCCAAATTTTTAGCTAGTTTCTACCTAATCTAATAGAGTCTTGGGGTATTGTTTTAAGTTTTTAATAATTATATATCATTAATGGCAGTGATTAGAGTGGTTAATGATGGGTTTAAGGCTAACATTGGCACTAATTAATTAAGTTTAAACTAATACAATGAGTTAATAAAGGTTAAATGAGCTGATAAAAGTTAATAATAGGATTGCTTATTGCCATAATTGCTAATTAAGGTCTTGGATCTTAATCATAATTATGAGTTAATTAATAATTATTAGTAATTAATGATGTTGTCAATCCTAAACTATAGATTAACTACTGTTGGAGCTTGTGGATTATTTTTGAGCTTTCTTAAAATCCAAGTTGTACTCTTGGTGTGGTAAACCAAGAGTTGATGTAACTAAAAGTTAAATTATAGTGTTTGTTTGTACCTATATTTATGAGTTTGATTGATTTTGGTATGTGAATGAATGGCATTTTGGTATACTACTATATGTGAACTTGGCCTGGCGAATATGATGTGAATTAGGTTATGATATGAGTGCATATCACATGATTGAATAGATTCAATGATGGTTGTTTAAGCATGAATTGTTGATGGTGATGTGACAAGATATAGGTTATTGAGTATGACTATATAGTTGATGAGCATGGGAAACATTTTATAACAATGTATATTTTTATGAGTATGATGTATCATGGTATTACTACAATGGTAAGCATGAGTATGTGTTGCACAATATGAAAATGGCAACGTGACTTGATAATCATAGCTATTGATTTACAATCTATGAATATAAGTATGATCATATAGGTGGATGAGCATGATTATGACTATGAATATATCATTTGCATGGATTTGCACGATTATAGATGGATGGAGGTTCACCTGAGAGAGTAAGGTGATATGAAAATCCACATAGTACTCATCAGTATCGTGAAAACTCAGTGTTTTGGTTCTTGATTATTACCCTAGATTAGGCAAGATGACATCCCATGAGTTTGGAGTGAAGGAATTCATGGTCCAAGAGTAAGCATAAGGTCTTAGCTGGGTCACCCCTCACAATTGGAGGGTGGATCTAATTCGACCATATGGATTAGTCATATATGATTTGATAGCCCATGAATTTTGTCAAAAAATATAAGAAGAGTAATAAGGGTGGAGCATGATCATGTATAATTATCATCATTATTATATCACATGTTTTATGATCATAATTGTGTCATTGAGATACATACGGTATGATTGTGAAATTTATAAATGTGAATTTATACATTAATTACTTATATGTACCACATATTTATATGCTTGAATTTAGAAAAAAAAAAAAGACAATAAAATCCCTTTAAATTATATAAATAAGAATTTAGTCTCTCAAAATATTATAATTTTACTAAAGTCCCTAGAGACTTTTCTATTATTAATAAATTTATATAAATGATCAAATTGCCCTTATTGAAAATAAAATAATCACAAGTTTTGTTTAAATAATCACAACCTTTCTTTTTATATTCGCAATAATACAACAACAAATCATAAATTTGTATATCAAATTCTTGATATTGCTACAAATGTTGAAAATAATAAGTAATAATCAAAAGTTTTGCTTAAATAATCACAACTTTGCTTATTATATTCACAACAATGTAACAATAAATTACAAGTTTACATGTCAAATTTTTAATATTACTACAAGTGTTAGAACAAGTAATTATCACAAGTTTTGTTTGAATAATCATAATTTTACTTCTTATATTCACAACAATACAATAGCACATCACAACTTCACATATCAAATTTCTAATATTGCTACAAGAGCAATTTGGTTATTTATATAAATTCATTAATGACAGAAAAGTCCTAAGAACTTTAGTAAAATTATAGTATTTTGAGAGATCAAATTGTTATTTATATAATTCAAAGAAATTTTATTATTATTTTCCTTTAAATTTATGTGCTTGGTTATTGAAATTGTAAAATCTCACTTTAGTGGTTTATTATTTTTTCCAAGAAACATTTTGGGTCCAACATAAAGGGACGCGGGTGAGGCTAGAGACATTTAACTATTGTAATGTCTCTAGTAATTATTTATGTATAATTAAATAGTGTATTACAAATATTAGGAGTCATTTGCATAAATTACATTATTACTTGTTTATAACTTATGATGATGATTTAGCCATCCTGGCATGAATTGAGTAATTGGCATTTACCTCTAGCTTTAGTAGCCTCCTAGTTGATGGTAAGCAATGAGAGGGGAGACTTAAATGTTCACAACATGCAGATGGAAGTCAATTGTTATGTACCTTTGGTTAGAAATGTATTTTAAGTGTAATAAAGTTTATACAGATAACAGTTTAAGAAGAGAGACAATTAATTTTAGTGCTTTTAGCATTAATACTTGCCTAGAACTAAGGGTTCGAAAATCCTCATTTCGTACTAGTTTTAGTTAGATTTCTTAATTATTTACATGTGAGTACTTGGATTACTTTAATTAAAGGTTCAAATAATTAATTAGGTGATTTGAAAGTTTAAATTAAGGACTATCATTACTGTGTTGTACACATGGTTGTGCCTCAACAAAGTGGCCCCTGTACCATAGGCCGCAACATGTGTACATTTAGCTACAGTGGACGATCTTTTCAACCATGATGGACCACTTTATTTGGAAAATTAGTTGCAACGATTGCGTACTTTTAAGCCACAATGGATGCATCAAAACTTCAAAAATGTCTTTTTTGACCTTCTTTATCCTATTTTATTGGTACTCCCATGTTTCCATAATTTTTTTTACTCTAATTTCAAGTGTTACTATTTTATTAGTTTTTTTTCATTTAATCTTGGGATCTCATTTTATAAAAAAAAAATTAGGAACTTTGATTTAATTAAACATTAGAAATATATTGAAATCCAATTTTTAATAAAATAAGTTTGACCCTTAAGCTTTCCTTATATTATCCTTTTTTTTTTATGTTTTTCCATATTGAGTGTAGCATGCTAATAATAACTTCAATTTATTCCCGTTCATAGTCACTCATTTCTACTTTAAACAACCTTCAATAATAATATGTTATAAATAAAGTAGTTAGTACAAATATCAATATGCATGACAATAAATATAAAGGTTATTATGTCATGTATACTAAAAGTCTTATATATATTATATATCCAATTTATAAAAAAATAATACTTTTGAATACTCTTTAGATACATAATCATTTTAGAACAAAGCAAAATATGATAGTATTAAAAAAACTTTTACATACATAAATTATTTTTTTAAATCTCATATAATATAAAAATATATATAGGTGAAAACAATATAAAGCACTTAAATCATTTTTTTTTTTATAAGTGCTTATTTGTGAGTTTTCGGATCATTTCATGTAATGCAATATTGGAGGTCTTCTTCTGTAAATTTTAAGTTAACTGACAATCAAAATTAATTCTTTCAATAACAAAAAAATCCAATATATCGTCTTCAAATGTTAAAACAGAAAAGATATACATGTAAGTTAAAAATACCAAGCACTTCTGAACAACCTAATAATAAAGTAATTAGATGCCTCATTCACATTCTGGTAGCCACAGTATTTTTCTGGTAACTTTCCCGCAACGTACATCACATTCAAAATAAGAACTACAACTTTAAAAACTACACGGCCTGAAAATACACGAAACATTGGAGGCACAAACATGATGCTTTTGAATTTATTTTATTTATTTATTTATTTATTTATTATTTTTTTACACGGAACTCGCAAAAGCAATATAAACAGAAGGGTAGACAAAGGGTAGATAAGAGCCCTAAAAAAAAATTCGCTTTAGCCATTTAGTCACGACCAAACCATTTCCTCAGGAGCTGCTGGCACAGCGAGAGTTTTTCACCCTAGTGCATTGCGTGTTGGCAAATATATGAAGATATAGAGAAACCAGAAATCGTCACTTAAAAAAAAAATGTTTGGCCAGTGCTGTGTTAATTCACAGTACTAGTATTCCCAGGACACAAAAACTGGACAGGAAAAAGATATTATGTGCCTCACTTCACAAATGCTGCTTCAAATCAGACAATCTCAAAACAGCAACTGACATTTTCCAGCAGATTCAATGTCCATCGATACAGGTACAGCTTGATCACCTAGAAACTGGCTTAATCTCGGAGCACAAAATCTGGCAAAAGGACTAGGCAAGTCATAATTATTTGATTGTTCGCTCTACACCCCCCCCCCCCACCCCCAACCCTCAATTTCTTCATTCGCTGCTATAAACCTCGTCATTTTCACATTGCCTTTTCCCAATTGCTCTAGTGTCCTTCGGAACCTCATAAAGGGTTATACTGCTGCTGCCAATTTGAAGCATTTGCTCTTCTTCGTTTTCGTCCTTTGACTGAAAATTCTCTAGAATTTCAACAACCTGACTCATTAGAGGCCTGCCTTTTGGATTTTGGCTAAGACATTGGTTTGCCAGATGGGCAACCTTTATTGCAGTTTTAGCTGAATATTGCCCATCCATTCTAGGGTCTATAATTTTAAGAAGTTTCTTGTTATGATTCAACAGTGGACGTGCCCACTCAACCAAGTTGTGTTGTCTGCTGGGCCTGCTCTTGTCTAATGCTTTCCTTCCAATAAGCAACTCAAGTAGCACCACCCCAAAACCATACACATCACTTCGAGCAGTTAAATGCCCTGTTCAATGGGACCTACAACTCAGTATAAAAATAAGATCCAGTAGCTTATCTACAATAATAATGTACCATTTGGATTATTAGCTTGATAACGTTAGTTGAGCAAGATATAATTTTTTTTCTGCGACTCTCTGGATATATAAGAGAACCAAAATTAGGTTAAGCTGAAAGGTGGAAAGTGGAAAACAGCTAAGGTAGCTCTTGGCAGCACAAGGAAAAATTAATGAAAGTTTTTTTAAATCTGTTATGAAAGTTATCACCATAAATGGAAGAAAAATGAAGCGCAAAAACATAAAATAATATCATGTATAATGAAGGAGAAAATATTCAAATGTCAAGAAAACTTGTTACGCAGTATGAAAGAAATAATTATTTACAGAATTCCAAGTTTCCAGGCATGGATCAACTTTCCGTCCCCTACTGAGACTCCAATTTTTTTTTTATGCAATGCATGAAGAGTCATCTATTTTTTTTTTATATCCATAATTGTCATTCTAAAAGATTTTTGGAAATATTACCAAACTGTATCAACCAATTATACTTTTAAAAGCAATTTTTATAGCATTTTTAGTCCCTTCTATACAACTACTACTCACAGTATCAAAAGAATAGTATCCTTTCAGAAAGCCACAACCTTTCCAAACAGACCCAAAGTCAAGTTTCGACTCTAGATTACATCATGATAATAGAAAATGCACCTTCTGTTTTTCACTTCAGAGTTGCCTAAGTTTCCTAAACTTTAGGACAAAGAAATAACAAAATAGTTCAGCATAACCAACAACTCACCAGTCATCACATACTCAGGTGCAGCATATCCATATGTGCCCATCACACGTGTTGAAACATGGGTTTGATCTCCCATAGGTCCATCCTTTGCAAGACCAAAGTCTGAAAGCTTTGCGTTGAAATCCTACAGTTTATACCTCAACAATAAATATACATAGTCTTGACAGAATTAACTTGTTCAATAATGGCATGCATGAAAAAAAATTTAAGGAAAAGACATAACACGTTTTTCTGTAGCTTTTGAAAATTCATATAAATATATATATATATATATATAATTTATGAAAGTCATGCTATTGTTTAGAAAGAAAGTCATCTTTTATAAAAAGGAAGTAGTAGAGTAATAAAACAGCAGAGTAAGAAATCAATGAAAATCCAAATAGAAACAATAAGACACAATAACCATTCAAAAGGGCAAAAATGCATGCACTATGCAGGACTTAAAAATCTATCTGCACGCTGGTTAGACAAACCCCAGACCGGTCCATTACCTGAGCACCATAAGCCTGCCAAAAGAATACTATCACGTTTTTTGAATTGTTCACGCCTAGCAAATCTGGTTAAATAAAAAGGACTGATATATGCAGGACTTAAATTTAAACATAAATTTATTTTGTAGAAGCCAACAGTAGATTGTGGTGTTTAAAAAACCATATTTTTAGCACCAGCTAAAATTTCAACATCTAAAAATTACACGATTAAGGAAATAATATCACACTTTTCAGCTTTTTATAATGACAAGAAGTTTAGCTTCTCCAGAAACTTTCTTTCTCATGCCCAAACATAAGGATTCCCAAGCAACTGAAACCTAAAGTCAACAAACCGCATCTAGCAAAATATTTGATGTCTTGAAGTCACGATATATGATGGGCCTCTCTGCACCATGAAGAAAAGCAAGCCCTTTTGCAGCATGTAAAGCAATCTTCATTCTTTTTGACCAAGTCAACATTGAGCCCACTCCTGCCATCAATGCAAAACAGAGTCCTCTAAACTATACATGTTCGAGACAATTTCCTTACATTTTCTTTCTCAGTGATGTATGGAAGGTGCTTAAACAATTGAGAGGTGAGACTGGAGATATTTAACAGTACTGTTTTTAAGTGTTGTAACAATCAAGCAGTTTGGAGTTTGGTCTAATCTAGAAGCAAGAAATAGCAAAATGTTTCCACTTTTCATTGATGTTTGCAATGTGCTAAAGCACCAGGATGGTGAGACTCGTGAAATTTAGACTGATCATGCTGCAAGCATCCTACTTTAACAGTCACCTTTTTGAAAGTGTAATAACGAACAAGAAGTTTAGAATTTCATCAAATCCTTAAACAAGCACTTTTAGTATTGTTATTAATTCCTAATACAAAATTTGTTCCTTTTCACTTAAATGAGGGTACTTTAGTCAAATCATGATTTAAAATATATGATCCAATTTCTAGCTCCTCTACCACAAAGAGGTTTTATTGTTCAGACTGTCAAAGACTCAAAAGTGATACTGTATTTGGTAGACAGACCCAAACTTAAGCTTTTTCTTAAATTAATTTTTTTTTTAAAAAAAAAAAGGGCCAAACAAACATCTTTACCCAGCCTAATAAGTACTTCTTCAAGACTTACTTTTCTGCACCAGAAACTCATGACTTCCTTAGCATAGGGAGTTGTGCCAATAAAATGGATTGTCATCAAACGAACTAATAATAGGACTGGATGTTTTATTTGACAGTGAGCATGTTGAATAATTCTTGCAGCATCTACTATAGGAATACAATTCATTACGTTCAGTGCCAAATAGCTATATATCATCCCTTGAAAATGACTGATAACATAAGCCCTTCAACTGCTCCTAAAAGACAACAATATCATAAACATACCCAAGTTATGTCCACCAAGGCAGTGCTATAAGAATAAATCAAGCTATTTCAGTAATACACTCTTTAATGAGTAGAAAGTGGCAGATATCTTGGGATCAAAAAATAAAATATGTGTTAGCAAGTTATGGCCATAATTGGCCCTGTCCCGCATACATGTTGTCGAACAGCCACCAACATAAAAGAGACACATAGTACTACAAAGTCCCAACCATTGTTTTGGAACTCAGATGATTCCCATCAACAATCTTTTGGATTGATATATAAACGTTTGAACTTCAGCCAATTCCAAGATAAAAAGAAAAACTGCCCCGGTTCACATTTAATTAAAAAACAGAATGTCAATTAAGTGAGCAACCAGATTTTCATCTACAAACTATTTCTAATTTACAATACAGATTCATCTACCATATTGACAGAAGCTTACTGCGAAAAAGGTGTTTTTCCAAGCTCCCACTTGCCATGTATTCATAGACCAATGACCGATGTTCATCCTCACAACAATATCCAATAAGTTTTACAAGATTTGGGTGACTGAACTGGCCTAAATAATTAACTTCAGCCTGCAAGTAAACAGATGCAATTGAAACATTAGTGGTATCAAAATTAGGCAGCTTGACCATCCTTATTGCCACTAGGATCAAGCCTTTTCTTTTCTTTTTCTTGATAGAATGTGGCAACACCTTATTGCTACAATAATTATCAGTTTCAGTAATTCAAACAAGAAAATAAAATCAAATTCCAAGCTTAGAGCTTTCAAGTAAGAAAAGGAAAAATCATTTCAAAAGAATGAGTGGGGGCCAAAAAGAATTTGAGAGAGTAAGATAAGTTACCAGCCATTCCCTATCACCCTGAATTCCGTCTCGATTTAGCTCCTTAATAGCAACCTGTGTGACCTGGTAACCTGGCCTTACATTTTCATCTATCACTCCTTTATACACAACTCCAAAACCACCCTCTCCCAGAATTAAGTCTGGACGAAAATGCTTGGTGGCCAACCTCAGTTCATCATAGGAAAATATATCAACATTCCCATAGCAAGGACTTTGGCGGAGATCTTTGATATTCATAGGAGATAATGAACTGTAGCTTCTGCTTCTATCTTGCTTAGTTGTTGGTGTGATCGATTCATATCCTACTCATTTGCAAGTACAGAGTATGTGTGAATATTAATAACATGCATAACATCTCTTTCTCAAGTGCCTACAACAATTAAATATTTTAGACACCAAACAACGGTGGAGACCTCCAGTTTCTCTTTTCCCCCTTTTGTTTTTAAATTGTTAGCAAATAATAACAAATTTATGAGAGCAACTACTTAAGTATGTTTGTTCAATCCAGAGTTGAACAAAACTTCCAGAGAAATTTCTTTCAACCATGAGAATCTTCAGTGTGATTTTATATGGCTACCAGTAACGCAGTACAAAAATCACATTATATCAGTTTCTCGCACGCATTTAATCGGTTACTAGAACCATATTGTTCATTAAAATAAATCATAACAAGGAGGTCCCTGTGCACAACTAAGTGGATCTAAATTATCCCTTTTTCCGCTCTCTCGATCTCAACCCAACAGAAAATTTAAACGATACATAACATGCAAACAGTAATTGCCCAAGCATTATTTTAGTTTTCTAACTTCTAGGAAATCCAAACTAAAATGAATAACTAAAGGTTGAATCAATACCTGTGGCCTTTGTATCAGAGTCAATGCTGAAGCAAATACCCATGAATCTAGATATAAAGCGAACAGAACATACATTTCATCGTTCCTCTGCCTCAAAGACCTCTATCTCAATGTGTCATTACACATTAACGCAGTAGCATAAACTATAACTCCCAACAATTCAATACAAGACCACATTTGACATAATTCATCCGCAATCTTGTGAGTTTCTCCGGATTTCGATCTGATTAACCGGACAATGAACTAACTCCCAACCAAATTCGAAAATGATTGTTTGAAGAAATCAGAGTGAGAAACACATGGTAGACAGAGCAACCAAGGGTTAGACAGAGGCACAGAGCGGAACGAGGAATGTCTTTTTTTTTTTTTTTTTTAATGGTAAGTTTATATATTTTTATTTTGAATTGATAATAGAATTAAAAATCAATTTATTATTATTAATACATTCAAACATAATATTAATATTTTTAAAATTAAATTTATAATAGTTAAATCCAACAAAATTTTTTAAAAAAATTATTTATAAATATTTATTGAAATGATAAGAAGTTTTAACTACAAATAAAACATTTAAATTTTAAATATAATTTTTAGTCCAATTCATAATGATAGTAATTTAAATTAATATTTATAATTTATTTTTTATGAAAAATAAATGTCAAAAAATTTAAGTTTGCGGGGATTAATAACTTCAAGTTATGTATGCTATCTTTAGTATATTTTTGGGCAACTAATAAATTTAATACATCAATGTCAAACTAAGACTAAGGAGAGTTCTTCCATTATCCTTTTATTTGGTAATAAGAAATATTTTATTATTAATTCATCCATCATTGATGACATGACAATATAATAGTTAACTTATTTTTCATTATCAATAAATAATTTTCTAATCAACTAATATTATCTCTAAGAATCTTTTTTTAAAATATTACACAGTTAGAAGAATAATTCTATGTTCCTTTTTTGGCCTGAAATAATTGTACAGAATCTAGACTAGTTGTAATTTTTTGTTGATCAACAAAAAGATAATAGATGTTAAATAAAAATATTAAATTAAATTATAATTTTGGTTAATTTAAAAAAATCAAATAAATACCAAAAAATAATAAATATAGTAGGGGTTCTTCTTCTCCCGGTCTGTTGATCGAGCAAGATATTCAACAAATGCAAAGCGTGTTTTTCAATGGCCTATTGACTCTTCAGTTTCGAACACGTTTTCATTGGTGACTTTCAGTGTGCCATATGTATGCTATTAATATCATTTGACTCTTTAAAAACCATAAAAAAAAAAAAACCATCTACAAGTCTATCATACATTATTCGGGGGGGAAAAAATCCAAACAAGGGGCAAGGTTTTAAACATTACATTAAAAATTTATTTTAAATTTTTGAAATTAGTATAAAATTTAAAATTATAATTAATAATATTTTATGATTTCATAATAACTGTTAAAATATAAGTCTCATAAAACGAAAAATCACACTAAAAGGTTATGTAAAATAATATTAAAAAATATTTTTATCTCTCAACTATTCATATAGAAGTATTTAATATCTTAAACATTTTTATAATGTAATATTTTCTTTCAATATTTAAAAACGATACAATTTTGTTCTTATTATTAAAAAAGTTAAATTTGATTGTTAGCTAATCAAAAAAATTACATTAAAGGATCCTTTAAAAAAATTAATACTATCAATTAAGTTGTAGATGCTTGTACATTCTTTTCTTTTCTTGTTTTTTTTTTCCATGAACACCCATTATCTTGGGTTTACCTCACTCAAGCTGTAAACACTTAAACAAGCCTAGAATTTAAGCTACTGTATTTTCAAAACTCAAATTTAAAATATCTAATTAAGCTAGAACTTTTTTTATCCATTAATCCAAACACTACGTGGTTACTTGTACATTTTTTCAATGGTCAACAAAACACCACGTCACCCCTCAAAACTACGTGTCATTCATGCAAAAAAAAAAATTCAAATAAATATAAGTCACCCCTCAAAACTACCGGTCCTTCTTGCAAAGGAAAGAAAAAATCAAATAAAAGATCAAATTGATTTTGTTGATCATTATACTAATTTTTATTATTCAAAGATCATTTAATGAAATCTAAAAAATAACTTATCATTGTTTGAGTATTCACTCTTCAAAATACAAATGACAACTTGTCAATTTTTTAAAAACAACTTTAGAAGACTACTTTCCAAATCCTTAACAGAACTTGTCAACATTTTTAAAAACAACTTTTCAATATACAAATCACAACTTATAATTTACACAACTTCAATAGAAGCTAGTAAAAATGTCTTGCCTCTTATTTTCTCAACATGTATGATGACCACCAGCAATCACTGATTTTTTTAACAACTTTTACTCTCTAAGCAACTCAGTAGTTTATGAGATGATGACAGTTAGATTCTAAAGAAATAAATTAATGATAGTTAAATTCTTAATAAAATTTTTTACAAAATAAATTATAAATATCAATTCAAACAGTTACAAACAAAAATTTTTGTTACAATCTAAAAATTATATTTAATATTTAAATATTTATTTGTAAGTTGAAGCTCCTGAATTTATAATGATTTGAATCAATATTTTTAAATTTTTTTAAAAAAATTATTGAAGACTTAATTTATATTAGTTCAGTATTTTGGGGCATGACTATCGTTCTCCCTTTTAGTTTATTGGCTAATCGAATGCATTTATGAGACCTTTAAATTGGTCTGCCACATGGTAGAAGTTAATACACTTTGAGGGAAAAGGGATACTTAAGTGTTTCAATGATCCACCTTAAAAAGATCAAATTCAGAAGCACCCATACCAGTCTTTGTTAAATGTGACAAGATTTCCACAAACACCAAATTTCAACACGGTGTGGAATGGAGAGCTAACTTTCAAATAAATGAAAACGTCTCTACGATTGACCAATAAGAGGAGAACCTTCAACTTTGACTGGTAGAGAAAATGAATTTTGTCTTCTCAAAAATGGGTTTGACCATGATGGACGACATGTACAAGGGAGTTCATTTTGACCGACTAAATCAGAGGGTTTGAGCATGTTCTTTTCTAATTTTTCAATTAATGGGTAATTTCATCATTTATCCTCAAAAATTATTTTCATTTAAGTCCTTTAATCTTTGCATAACATTTTAAGAATTTTTTGACCCTTTTTCAACAACCTTCCCCAATGGTCCTTTATTGCGAATTTCACTGTATTAAATTTTACGTTACAAAAGTAAAAGTCATTGCCGTTCCATTACTTTTTCATGGAATGGGACTTTAAAAAAAAATTAATTATTTAATTTTCACAATTTTAATTCAATTATAACTTAATCCTTACACTTTAACTCATTATAACTTCATCATCATAATTTTAATTAAATTATAACTTAATCTCTAAACTTTTTTTTTACAAATTAATCCCTATAATTTCAATCACTTCAATATTAATTCTTATATTTTAAAAAATAAAATTATAAAGATTAAAATTATTTTAAACCTTTAATATTTATAATATTTATAAATATTAAAAAGGCTTAATAATTTAAAATATTATTATAATTTTAATCTTTATAATTTTATTACTAATGTTATAAATATTATAATTTTTTCTCTGTAAAGCTATAAACTGTAATTCTCTGCAGCAATAAAAAATCAACAACTCCATAATGAATATTCAGACATACAAATTAAGCCTTTTGTTCTATCAATCGAAGAAATTTAATTCAATTAATTTGAAATAAAACAATCTGCTTCTGCAACTAATTCAAGGAAATAGCCAAGTCCTGCAGTTTTACATCCGAATACATCATGGCGTGAACGACATTTACAATGTCAAAAACGCAGCGGATGGTGATGCCACGAGGTCACTAATACGATCCCATGTGCCTCCTCACCTTTCATTCTTGCACCTTCGCTCTATTCATAAAATGTAACTTGATCATTTACATAAACAGAAACAGTTCCCAATTTTTCATCCATGACCTCATATACCATCTTGCTTTCCGAAGCTATACATAAATTTAGGGCATGCATGTATAAATACACATTAAATATCCTCTTACTAATTCAGAAACAGGCAGCCAGTATCAAAGAAACCGAATAAAACCAAAAGGTCTTTCAAATAAGATTTTTCTTTTGTCTTCTGAAGAAAGAAAATAAACACACAGATACACAAAGCAACAATGTAGTCACCCTTTGCTTCCTGAGACTCATCCTGAAATCTTTTTGACTCTGTTCTTTTGGAATCTTCTGTGTCATTTTTTTTTCCCAGCTTCTTCAGTCAGATGTCATGGGTTGTGTCATGCAACATCGAAAACGGGCCTTGCGTACAGTCGTCATGATCTCCGTCTCTGCAGCCTCTAGCATTGCTACGATTTCAGTAAAAGGTGGCCGAACATCAGGGTTGGGATCCCAGCATCTTGTCATGATATCTCGGAGAATGGGTAAGCAGTCGTTGGGTATCATCGGACGAATATTTCTGTTGACGACGGCGAATGCTGCTTGTACAGCTGTCATGTTCTGAAATGGAAGCATTCCAGTAATGAGCTCCCAAAGAACAATCCCAAAGCTATATACATCCACCTTTTGAGTGTAAGGCCTGTGTTGGATCATCTCCCTGTAGCAGATAAGGAGGAAGTAAGTTCGATTACCAAAAGAAAATGAAGCAGGAAATTCAGGTATCACATCACGGTGTACAATTTTAACTTGAAGTGCGCATAAAAAATCTGCACTTCAGCAGTGTCACCCTTGATGACCCTTCAACTTGTCAGAGGTAACAATCATTTCAAACATATAGGCTTGCATCAATCACACAGACAATAAATCAAATTGCTTCTAGCAGTAGTATGAAAAACACGTTCACTGATGATAGCATCATCAAGTTTATCTTACCCAACTATGGAACATAATTACTGTTGTCACTCCTAAAGGACATTTGACACGTAAAATTATCAGATACACAAATGACAATGTGAATGGAAATGACAGTCATGTCCCTGCTCAAAATAAATAAATGAGGAAAATGTTTACAACAATGACATAACAGAATTGTATTAAATTAATGATATTGTCAATTCTATGCGTTCAATTTCCTTTTCCATTTCCGTTTCTGTTTCATTTTGGCAACCACGTGACATCTTAAAATTGGTTTTTCAATTAATAGTCTTAAATCGTCATACAATTAAAAAGAACTGACTAATTAAAAATAAAAAGTAAAGTTAGAATGCAGACCAGATTTATCTAATTTATAAGAATAAGCAATACAAGTTGTTAGTTTACAATTAGTTACGGATAGGATGTAGCACTAATGACATGGTGCATACAGATA